AACTGCTAATGTGGTCCAGCAAACAATGCAGATGCGCAAAGAATTCAGAAAGTCATCTCAATTTTTTTGTCTGCCTTGATTTTGTAAACCTCTCTCCCAACTGTTGGCATCAGCAATCAAATTAAAACGTTCAAAGCAAGATTGGATCTGATTGGCGGCTGTGAGAAGTAACAGTTGTCAGCTTCTGTATTGTTCTCCTTACAGATTCCTTTTTAATTTAATTTCAGTAATTCATGTTTATCAGCGGCTCCATCTGTCAGTTCTCCTCCATCGAAAACGTTTTAGATGAGAGAAGGCCGGTGACACGTTGTAGATAAATCCTCCTAACAGGAGAGGAATCTGAGAACAAAACGATTATGACACAAAGTGCGCTTTGCTGGAGAACGCAAGACACAGAAAAAACAGATGATTATCCATCCTTGGCTTCAGTGCCTTGGCTGTGCCAGACATACAATACATTAATGAAATCATTCTTCTAATGAAAGGTTATTGAGATAAAACGTGGATCCTGCAACAAAGCTTCCACGGCGGATAGGAGGCAACGCGTTTCGTACATTCTTGTCTTGTAGATTTGGGTGCTAGGATTATAGTTAGGCCTCTACATGTCCTTGTTAGCCAACAAAAAAGACAGAATTTTGGTTCCATTATCACATGAAAATTAAAGATTTCTTAAAGTGTTACTAAACCCACAACAGTACAATCAGTCTGTATATGCAGTAAAGCATGCTTGTTATACTCACTGTGGAACCTAAGGGGTTAATCCTCCGCATTGTGTAAAAGTGATCTTTGATCCTGACTTCTCTGATCCTCCCCTTCTTCCAGTGTCCTCCTCTTATCTCCTGATAAGACATATCGTATGGGGTCACTCTGTACATGGTCCGTTTGTATGTGTATTGCTAGAGAGGTTTTTTTTTTCTTTGGCCCTGTGCTGATCACATGCAGTCTCCCATCAGCACTGTCCAGACAGAGGTCAGGGGTTCTGCATCCTCCTAGAGCAGAATGAAAACTCCTCCTACAAGCTTTAACCAGTGCTCTGCTGGACACTGATAGAAGTCACAGGACTGCTCTAACTTCTGATGAGAAAAGGTATTTAGCAGTTTATATTTACTAAAATAATTTCCCTGTTATGTGTACTGTGGGAGACCAGATATAGGGAATGCAGGGTCCGGGGAGACCAGATATAGTGAATGCCGGGTCCAGGAAGACCAGATATAGTGAATGCCGGGTCCGGGGAGACCAGATATAGTGAATGCAGGGTCCGGGGAGACCAGATATAGTGAATGCGGGGTCCTTGGAGACCAGATATAGTGAATGCCGGGTCCTTGGAGACCAGATATAGTGAATGCAGGGTCCGGGGAGACCAGATATAGTGAATGCGGGGTCCGGGAAACCAGATATAGTGAATGTGGGGTCCGGGGAGACCAGATATAGTGAATGCGGGGTCCGGGGAGACCAGATATAGTGAATGCGGGGTCCGGGGAGACCAGATATAGTGAATGCAGGGTCCGGGGAGACCAGATATAGTGAATGCAGGGTCCGGGGAGACCAGATATAGTGAATGCAGGGTCTGGGGAGACCAGATATAGTGAATGCAGGGTTCTTGGAGACCAGATATAGTGAATGCAGGGTCCGGGGAGACCAGATATAGTGAATGAAGGGTCCGGGGAGACCAGATATAGTGAATGCAGGGTCCAGGGAGACCAGATATAGTGAATGCAGGGTCCAGGGAGACCAGATATAGTGAATGCAGGGTCCAGGGAGACCAGATATTGGGAATGCAGGGTCCGTGGAGACCGGATATAGTGAATGCAGGGTCCGGGGAGACCAGATATAGAGAATGCAGGGTCCGGGGAGACCAGATATAATGAATGCAGGGTCCGGGGAGACCAGATATAGTGAATGCAGGGTCCAGGGAGACCAGATTTAGTGAATGCGGGGTCCAGGGAGACCAGATATAATGAATGCAGGGTCCGGGGAGACCAGATATAGTGAATGCAGGGTCCAGGGAGACCAGATTTAGTGAATGCAGGGTCCGGGGAGACCAGATATAGTGAATGCGGGGTCCAGGGAGACCAGATATAATGAATGCAGGGTCCGGGGAGACCAGATATAGTGAATGCAGGGTCCAGGGAGACCAGATTTAGTGAATGCAGGGTCCGGGGAGACCGGATATAGTGAATGCAGGGTCCGGGGAGACCAGATATAGTGAATGCAGGTCCGGGGAGACCAGATATAGTGAATGCAGGGTCCGGGGAGACCAGATATAGTGAATGCAGGGTCCGGGGAGACCGGATATAGTGAATGCCGGGTCCGGGGAGACCGGATATAGTGAGACCGGAATGAATGCAGGGTCCGGGGAGACCAGATATAGTGAATGCCGGGTCCGGGGAGACCGGATATAGTGAATACAGGGTCCGGGGAGACCGGATATAGTGAATGCAGGGTCCTGGGTTTAGTAACACTGTAAAGCAGAACTACACTGCACCTGAGCACTACAAACCAAAAAAGCTATTTGATTAACTTTTAATATTCAAAGCAAACAACTCCCCCATCTATCCATGTTGCTTAAAAATCACTTTGAAACCCCCCCCCAGCAGTTCTGGCTTTGGTCATCTGGAGAAAGGGCAGATGAATCATGTAGCATTTACTTCCTGGAATCCATCTACACCTAGCTTAGGCATGCAGGCAGGAGGATGTGCTTAGCTGAGAAAGCACCTCCTCCCCTCCTGAAGACTTCTGGAATGTATGACATCATTTGCCTAGGCCTGGAAACCAGGAAGTATCTGAAGAAATGTAAAAAAAAAAAGTTTAAAACCAGTAAAGTGCATTTGTAATCTACCAATACATATACAGGCATTAAAGTGACACTTAAATGATATCTTTATTCTCTAAAAAAACATCCATACACATCCACTACCTAACGGCCCTGTAATCTATTTTTCGTGAAATCTATTTCCTGCTGTGTTTTTCTGCCTCTTGGTAATTCCCCCTGTGAGCTTTTCTACCTCTCATTTTCTCCCTCACTTCCATTTGTCCGGATCAAGCAGTGCACGTTAGTTGATATCAGTCCTAAAAGGTATATTCCAGTGATGGAGTATAAATGACTTCAATCCAAATGGGTATATTCCAGCATCCTAACATGAAGGTGTAGAAAAATTGCATTAGATGGCATCACCCCTACAGGAGACGTGTTATTACACGAAGCGCGTCTAGGAGGAGCCTCTGCACGCCTTGACGTTACGCCACCGGATCAGGAGGTCCGGTGGCCATCATTTTTATTCACTGGTCGGTGCATTTAAAGAGCTCATTCACACTATACTTGTATAGGTACTCTAACCCTGTACGTTTACTGTTTTATCTTAATGATATATACTCAATAAATACTTTTCATAATACTACACCATGAGCGTTTTCATCTCTATTACCTGGCACTGAGCCTCCACATCTCAGCCCAGCATTCTAGGAGTCCACCCAGGCAGGACAATTTGGGATATAGGTCCAGACCATCATCTCTGGCAGCTGTCACCCCATTTACCACCAGAGGGCACCTTTATCATCAGGCTATACCTTCATGGGACCTCCAGCTTCATGGAATTTCTATGTGCACATTAAATTGCACTTCCGGTGAGTGGGCAATTTTTCTACACCTTCATGTTAGGATGCTGGAATATACCCATTTGGATTGAAGTCATTTATACTCCATCACTGGAATATACCTTTTAGGACTGATATCATATTACCTCGGACTGTTTAACATTCAGTTTATAGGACTTTTTCTATTTCTATCATATTTTGTCATACTTGTGACAGTGTGTTTTATTTGTACAGCGCTGCACACCCTATTTTCATGTCATATTCTTAGAAAGGCTTTGTGGTTCATTTTTGTGCATCAGCAGCTTTTTATTGGTGCGCTCGCTAACTCACACATTTATATAGTACACGTTAGTTGCGGACATGTGCACTGCTCTATGTACACTACAAATCCCACAGTCCATCTCTGGAGAGAGCAAGAGTGGGTGGCTACATTCCTACATACAGTGGGAACATGGAGAAGGAACATAGCCACCCTCTAACAGGAAGTCAGATCACATTAGCAAGAAGTGAGATTTGCAGGAGGCTGAGAGCAATAGAAGGGACTTTATGAGTTAAAGTGGAACTAAAGTCTGCAATACTTCCCTCTCCTTTAATGGTCTGAGGTCCCTTGCAGGTGCCAGCATCTTCTACCAGCTTCTTCTGGGTGCTAGGCTTCACTGGCCAGTTGCGGGATGACGTCACTGCTGCGCTTGCACAGGAGTCCAGTCATCCTGGTACACAGGGTCTGTGCTGGATTGTAAATTGAGCTGCGCGTGCACAGCTTGTACAGTATAGAGAAGACTGTGAGCAGGCCGATAGGTTTATTATATTGCTGAAGAGCCATTGCAAGGCTTTTCTGCAATATAGAGCCAACCTGCTGCCAGTTATATTACAGACTTTTATCCCCCCAAATTTTCCCTACCTTAGAACAAAGGACTCCAGAGGCACGCTGTCACTGCTGTAGGTGCCTCCATCTTCACCCGCAATGATGTCACTCCTGCACATGCGAGTCATGGCAGTGGCACAGCTCTCTCAATGGACGTTACTCCGTGCATTGAGAGCGCAGTGCGCATGCGTCGGTGATGTCACCAGCTGCTACTCTAGTAAATATCTCTTAAACTGTTTTACCCTCCTTATTGTTATTACTGCTTAGGGGCGGACTGACAACTCATGGGGCCCCCGGGCAATAGGGGATCATGGGGCCCCTGTGTCCTCGCCCACACTCAAACCACACCCAAAAAAGCCTATAAAAGGTACCAGGGGCATCTCATGAGGCCCCCTACTGACCCTGGGTCCTTGGGCAGTGCTCAAATGGTCAGTCCGCCCCTGTTACTGCTGGATATAAAAATCTTGGCCTTCTTTAGCAGCATTGTGTTTGTTTTTATTGAACTCTATGGGGTATAACGATGTACCTCTGTTCTAAACAGGACATCATTCTGGACATTCTGAAGGATGCAATTAGCTCATCGCTTATGACCACCAAGGGATTCCTGCTGGACAGCTTCCCCTGCGAAATCAGGCAAGCTGAAGAGTTTGAATGCAAGGTGAGCCTCTGTGTTGTGTTTATAGGGAGATTCTCTGGGCACCAGCCAGGTGGAGGGATCTGCAATCAGGGCTGCTGATAGAAACCAGGGGGCCCCCCCATACAGCCAACCTGTAAAATACAAAAAAAAAGTTTACTATGATTCAGTTATGAATTAACACAGCGCATGATCGGTATCAATCACTCATTGTGTTCATTCAGGAATGAAAGGTGCTGGTAAATGTGACCCCTCTCCCACTCTCCATCCTGAAGGATCCTATTGTGTGTTTGTAGTTGCCGGTGGAAAGGAAAAGAGGGAAGCTGGAAGCACTGCAGGGTTGGAGGCACACAGGGGGAAATGTATGGTGCACAGGGAAGATGATGGGTGTAGCGGTGGGTGTCAATTACTGGAACAGATCCCCTGTATGGCTCTTTCTGCAGCGGCTGAAAGCCAGTGGGAAGGAGAGCTGAAGAAGTCAGCTTTAAGCTGCTGCAGAGAGAGCCATACAGGGGATCACTTCCAGCAATTGGCCCCGCGTTGTGCCGATCACCCTCCCTGCCCACATTCAATTCACCCAGCTGCCTTGGCCCCCCTGCTGGCTTGGGCCCCGTACAGGAGGACCAGTGGTACCCCCTTGTCCACGGCCCTGTCTGCAATGCACCTTATGTCTCTTCCGTCATAGGTGTGCACCGCAGAACTACAACTCCCAGGAGCCCTGCAGATGCATACATTATATACAATAACTAGGGTGGCTATAGCTGTGTTGAGGGCAGTGTGAGCGGAGTATGTCTCTATATTCAGCCAGGCTCCTGTTTGGGAAGTGTTACCTTTATATACAGAGAGGAGAGCGGGCTGTGCATGGATGGGCAGAGGGAGGCTGGACACATTTATCACTGGGTACCTCCCACACCAGGCGGCCATGATGTGAAGTTGGTCTTGCCTGCACAGAAATACAGCTGGGTGACTAGGTGACCAATCATCCAGGGTATAGGCCGCTTCATGGGGTGACAGGTCTCCTATACAGGAAGTTCCTTTTGCATAGCAGTTTTGAGTTCAGCTATTCTTTTATGTAATTACAGACTTAACGTGCTACTAAACCCACAACAGTACAATCAGTCTGTATATGCAGTAAAGCATGCTTGTTATACTCACTGTGGAACATAAGGGGTTAATCCTCCACATTGTATAAAAAGGCTGTTTGATCTTGACTTCTCTGATTCTCCCCTTCTCTACTGCCCCCAATTCATCTGCTGATAGTACAGAGCCTTGGGGGCAAGCTGCACATGCTCAGTTCAGTGTGTATTGCTAGAGATATTTTTTTTTTTGTCTTGGGAGAGTGCATGTGGTCAGCTCAGGGCCAATCAGCACTGTCCAGACAGAGGGTCAGGGGTTCTGCATCCTCCTAGAGCAGAAAGATAACTCCTCCTACAAGCTTTAACCAGAGCTCTGCTGGACACTGATAAAAGTCAGAAGACTGCTCTAACTGCTGACGAGAAAAGGTATTTAGCAGTTTATATTTGCTAAAATAATTGGATTTCCATGTTGTGTGTACTGTGGGAGATCAGATATAGTGAATACGGGGTCCTGGGAGACCAGATATAATGAATGCAGGGTCCTGGGAGACCAGATATAGTGAATGCAGGGTCCTGGGAGACCAGATATAGTGAATGCAGGGTCTGGGGAGACGGGATATAGTGAATGCAGGGTCCTTGGAGACCAGATATAGTGAATGCAGGGTCCTTGGAGACCAGATATAGTGAATGCAGGGTCCAGGGAGACCAGATATAGTGAATTCAGGGTCCTTGGAGACCAGATATAGTGAATTCAGGGTCTTGGGTGACCAGATATAGTGAATTCAGGGTCCTTGGAGACCAGATATAGTGAGTGCAGGGTCTTGGGTGACCAGATATAGTGAATGCAGGGTCCAGGGAGACCAGATATAGTGAATGCAGGGTCCTAGGAGACCAGGTATAGTGGATGCAGGGTCCTGAGAGACCAGATATAGTGAATGCAGGGTCCTGGGAGACCAGATATAGTGAATGCAGGGTCCGGGGAGACCAGATATAGTGAGTGCAGGGTCCGGGGAGACCAGATATAGTGAATGCAGGGTCCTGGGAGACCAGATATAGTGAATGCAGAGTCCAGGGGACACCAGATATAGTGAATGTAGGGTCGGGGAGACCAGATATAGTGAATGCAGAGTCCGGGGAGACCAGATATAGTGAATGCAGGGTTCTGGGAGACCAGATATAGTGAATGCAGAGTCCGGGGAGACCAGATATAGTGAATGCAGGGTCCGGCGGTTTAGTAACACTTTAAATTGGCTATACCTGGATTAAAATTCATCTGGTTCAGCAGGTACCAGCTAAATTTCAATCCATGTATGGGCAGGGTGGTTGTACTGAAGTCGATCTACTGTGCTAAAGCCAGCAGCACTGATCAGTGTACTCTGATGGAAGTCAGTGGGGAGGGAATCAAGTCATTTTTTTTGGTTGAACAAAAAAAAGAATAATCTATGGACTGCTTTAGGCCTCATTGACAAGGCCATATAGCGATTACATCGACAAGAATGAACATTTTTTTGTAGTAGCACAGATGGATGCGATTGTCAGCAGCTAGCAAACCTGTACAGATGAATGACAGGCAGCGGCTGTTGTTCACATGTAATCATACAATGAGTGGTTACATGCGGTTAGGGATTAATGAGCAGCTCTGGATACAAACTGCCTGCATCCAAGGCCACTTATCCCTATCCACTTGTAATGGTTCAATGTGCGATTACATGCCGGCAATGATAAATAAAGAGCATATCTTGTAATATGACCATGCTGCTTCTATTGTTAATGTTCTATATAGCCAAAACTTTTTCTTAGTTAAAGATATAATAGGAAAAGCAGAGACTAGGTTCACATCTGTGTGGTGCGTTTTACATGCATCACCATTGAACTCTGTATAAAATACATTTTCATTAAAAGTGCTTCAAAGATGCAGCAAGTCTGATCTTTTTCAATGAGCTGCACTTAAAACACCCAGGTGTGAATGGGGCCTTAAAACCTTTCTCAGGTTGATTTTTGCTGTCTGTGTCCTGCTGGGAAGATTTCCCTTCACTTTGGAGACACAACATGAAATGAGAAAATCCCCCAAAGTGAGGGGAATTTCCATCTTAGACAGTTGTCCAAAATGGAATTTCCCAGAACATTTGTTCCCACTGGACACTGGAAGACTTCCTGTAATTAAAACTCTAAAATTTTGATTTCCTCTTACTTTCTGTATCGGTGACAATGGTCATAAGAATCTTCCCAGTGGGGGGCACAGGCTGCAATGAGAACTTGGCAGAGGGTATAACCCTTCCAAATTATATCCAATATCTAAAGCAGAACTCCCTTGGCCATTTACAGAATTCTGTGTATTCTGTGAATGGTTTATGTTGTACTTCTGTCTGGTTTTTAATGAAGTCTATGTCCGTGTTGGGATAGATAGTTGGTGGGAATCCAAAACTGTACAGTTATCACTGGAATAGAAGTAGAGAGGATATCTTCCATTGGGAATACCGGTTCAATGACAGGTCAGAAGTGTCCAAGAAGGGAATTATCTTTGAATAGATTTCCTTTCACTTCCTGTTGTGTCTTCAGTACAGGAAGTGAAGAAACATCTCTTTGATGGAGCACAGATAACAAAAAAAATGACATCTACCTGTTGGCCTCCAGGTCATCATTCACATTGCTTGACCAATATTGAAAGGAAAAGGCCAATAGAGAGATGGAAAGACACAACCTAAAAAGCAAGACTGGCATTTGCTTAGTCAAGTTTCCTCGGTTTCATGGCTCCCAGGGCATCCCGGATGACATCTGCAGGTTTGAAGTTTGGGTGGAAGAGAGTGCTGGGCTGGTGCTGCTGGAGGCTGCCTAGCGGCAGAATACTCAGCAGATTACTGTGTGGAGGGCATAGAGGGAATTGCATCCAATGGGTTATCTAAAATTGTAGGTGGGTGGGTGATAGACTCCCTTTGGGTCTAGGGCTGCTACCTTTCTGAAAATGAGAATGGGGCATTATCGGAGGGAACACTTGGGTGATTGGAGAGCTGCGCTCAATGTTCAAAAAATTTGATGAATTTTATAGTTGTTTATTGAAAATAAAAGTAAACAAGTAGAGCAAACGAGTTTCGGGGGAATTGCCTCACCCTTTCTTCAGGGCTGTATTTCTTGGAGAATGATTAAACTCTGAGAGGGTAAAATATTTTTAATCAGCGGCTCTGCAGTATGCCAGTGTTGTGGAGCAGAGATAGCAGTTGCTTTTATCTTCAATAAACAACTATATAAATCATCAGGTGAGACTTTTTTGTGGACAACAGGCACTCCTCTCCATTCACCGATCTGTAGATTTGGGCAGGCTGTTCTGGTACCTCCTTGTCATTTACATTTGTCGGTGATAGGTCATTTTAATGTTACAATTATGAGGGCAAAAGTGGGCCGAACATTTTTATTCATTAGGTTGTTCAAATTTCACATGTTGGTAGAGTAACTCTTCCTCTATAGTGACTCTTATTCTTTATTTTCATTACAGGTTAATAATGGATCCCAAGCAGAAGCAATGCGCTATCACTGAGTTCTTGACGAAGGAGGGGTGCAGGCTGTCCATCATCCACAGAAGGCAACAGAGTGTATATGGAGATGACACCATTGGCAAGAGCAATGTATACAGATGGATGTAGAAGTTTAAAGAAGGGGAAACCAGTATTGAAAACAAACCACGCAGCAGGAGACCATTAATGTTGGGCACCCCCTCCTTCATCAAGAACTCAATAACGGCACATTTCATCTGCTTGGAATTTGTTTACCTACAATGAAAAAGAATAGTTACTGTAGAGAAAGATTTACTCTACTAACATGTGAAATTTTAATGTCCTATGTACATTGATAGAAAAAAAAATGTATGCGGCCTGGCCATCCTAGATCTACAAAAATATTTTCACGCTTCCCATCTCGGAAGATTGATAGACTGGTGTTGTCACAGAGATGCCAAAATCTGGCCCAATATTGAACAGGCCCAAACTCCAATGCCACTCAATCAAGCTCCGTGGTGCCATGCTCACTCTCCAC